CTGACTTTTGTATCCCTTCTTTTGGACATTTGATTTCCAACAAACAATTATCACTCTGAATAATACCGTCAGCACTGTATCCCAGCCAGGGTATTCTGGGATGAATGAACAACCCCAATGTATGTACTTTTTTTTTTGTCCACTCTGCATATCTCTCACGACACTTCGGTTCAGTCAATGTTCCATGGCGTGTAGCAGCATTTCCCCGGAATGCTGAAAATAATTTATCTTTAATTTTTTTAGGCCAATCAGCCTTTCCACTTGCACCATATGTATGTAATTCATAACATGTGCTCCCTGTAATTCTCAATTGTCTTTCTCGTCTCCACATATCGTTCTCTTGTCCTATTGTTCTCATGCATATTTCAATTGACCTAGCTTCGGTTACGTTAATTTTATTCTCATAAAAAGTAAGCAGACTGTCGTTCAAAGTAGGAGTAGGTGGATCATAGGGTAGGGTGATATGGACACGTTCCTTCAGGAAAGCTCTTATAGACTCGAGGGAAGCAGCTCGATTTTTTAAAGCAAACATCAAAAGACCGTTTCGTTGCGCGTTGTTTTGAGAAATGGATCCCTGCTTCTGATTGTGGATGTGCTATTTGTATCAATGGCAATCACAAAAATCAGATATCAATAAATGTAGAAAGAAAAAAATTAAGAATTAATGAGAACCAAAAACCATACAATCGTACCTGTAATCAATGTATTGAAGAAGAAATTACCCAGGTTGTGATCATTTTCTTTCTCAACTTCCTTCGTCTTCTGAGAACAAAATTCTTCTATTGGAAGTATTTGATTATGAGGCAATTCAGCATTCGATTTTACTTTCCCCCATTGTTGTTTTAAGTCAGTACAGCTTGACTGTTCTAATTTATCAACTTGGACTCTATAAATTAAATTTAAAAAAAAACGGAAAACTACATGCTCTGTTCTCATGACATGTTTTCTCATGATGAGTCAAAATGTAATAGCAAATGGAATAGCAAAAATAGCTTTAAAAAAAAAACAAGCAAGGAAATTACAAGTTTTGAATACGGTGTGATGCATACCGATAAAGGTATAAAAGGGTCCCAAAAATATATTTGCACTTTCCTCCCATGCCAGCTGGACAACTACATTTGCAGGTTATTTTTTTCTCAGAATTCTCAATTGAAACTCTGATATTAATTTCATGATAATTATTCCAATGAGATGATTGTCGACACGCAGACAAAATATCAACGTAATTAGGGCCATAGGTTTTTATACCACAAATAATTATATGCCCAGCTTGTAACACTTCCTCCCCTGCCTTAATGGGTCGCCTTGTATTCTGTAGTAAATCACCAATATCACAATACGTCAAATTCAATTTTGGATTTATATTCATATTGGGTAATTGAAAAAATTAATAGTTTTTGTTATAATTATAGAGAAGAAATTGATAACCTTGTACTTTCATACACCAGCGCCCAAACAGCTGGTAGGTCCCCCCATCGAGCAGTTTCATGAATCCTCACCAGAGGGCGAGAAAACGGTTTTGACATCGCGAATTGCTTGCAATTGCTTGCTATTGCTTGCGAAGATACAGCTGACAATTCACCTCTCCAATGACAATCGTTTTCGTGGTTGAACAAATATTCTGGTGTAAAGATATGTACTCATCGTTCCTGCAGGTTAGAATTGATAATAAATCTAATTGTATAAACAAATAACTAGGAAAAACAATCACCATGATAATAATCACCTATATCGACAGATCACCGAGAAATCGTAAATTATTGTAATGTGATAATTGTTGATAACGAGAGAAGAAGAATACAAAAGTCACTGCGTTGGTTTGAATGACTAATGATTTTGATAATTAACAAAAGTTGATTGGCTTGGTGTTTATTTGGAGTCATGCCAATCGTAGCACGCAATTGCCCACATATTTTGAATCATGGAGATCTCAGAATCATCGAGGGAGTGTTTTGTCAGAAGGAGAGATTCATCAAGTGCAGTGATTGCGATAATGAGGGCCCTGATCTCTGGCTATGTCTTTATCCTGATTGTCGATGGGTAGGATGCACCGAGACACATCTGGATCATAGTACACTACATAATAATAAGCATCCCATGCACTGTGCACACATGAATCTGTCAACAAACAGAATCTGGTGTTACATGTGCGAGAGGGAGGTGATTACGAGGCACATTCCATCACCTCCTAGTTCACCGACACAGATGGATGTCAAGGCTGGAGGGAACAGGTTTATCGGCGATGGACCTGGAGGTATCAATTATAAGGCTGAGACTGATAGCTTCGGGATTCTTCTGGACAGGTGAGGAAGGAGTTTAGTTTGTGGTGAATTTCGAAGAGTTTTGATGTCTGATTTTGGAACAGAAGGGGTCATTGTGGGAATTTTGGAGAAAATGTCAGAATTAATTTTTTTGTTCAGTGTTTTGTGCAGTATATAAAAGAAGAGCTCAATATTTTTTATAGATTCACTCATTCCTCATATGTTTGTGAGAATTGGGTGGTTTATGAAATTTGAAAGTTTTATTGATTAAGGCCCGGGTGGATTATCTCTCGAACATAACCTTTGTTGTTTTTGGCTTATTTTGATAATCTGAAATGATCTCCAATTGCTATTCAGTTTTACATAGCCCTGGAGTCTCCAAAAATTATGATTGTACAATCATAAAAACGTTGAAAAAAAGCTGAACATTTTCAAAGGGCGTTTTCGAATAATATTGGGAAATAAACCCAATACGGAGGAAATTGCAAATTAATAATTGGTTGTATCTAATCGCTGTTAGGTCATTTGTCACAGTAGTCAGTGACTGTAAGATCGTTAGTTACCATGATAAGTTATCCCTTTACTATTTCCTCTCTATTGGACTTATTTCTTAAGCTTTATTGAAAACGCTCTTTGAAAATTTTCAGTTTTTTTTTCCTACTTTTATTGATTGTACAATCATCATTTTTAGGGACTCCTGAAATGTGATATATTTTAGATTATGAAGATGAAAAAACAATCGAGATAACCTTCGAAAGATAATCTACCCGGGTCTTAAGTGCATATTTCGTGGGTGAGTGACTTTACGTGGAAATGTTAAGACAATTTTTGTAGTTTAGAAAATTTACACAACTTTTCCACATTTTCTTTTGAAAAACAAAATGACGGCAATAATTTCCTAATCAGCAGGAATAGGCACTCAACTCATTATTTAAGGCCAATTAATTCCTTTCCGAAAATCAGTAAGATTAGGAAGTCGAAAGCGTCTCTGAGAATTCCCCCTGGAACTGTGATTTCATACATTCCCTTCAGTTTTAAATTTTTTGGCAGAATTCTTCAAGTTTTCGTTGAATTTCATTCAAATTGTTGAAATTTAAGGAATGAATGCCGGCACTTTTCATGAATTGGAAATCCAATTTTTCGCCTTCCAATGCCAGCGTACTTAGTGTATACGTACTTCGGATTTCAGTCAAAAATTTCAATGTTTTTTACTTTTTAAAAATTCTGTCTTCATAATGAAGTAGTTCTGCGGCAAATCCAAAGTCTAAAGAATTCTATGCTGGGGATTTCCTTCTGAAAAGTTGGGCATCAGACGAACATTTTCAAAAAAAAAACATTCAAAAATGTTGATAATTGCGGCAATTATGATTTTTGGAAAATTTACCATTTTTTTCAATGAATTTTTTTTAAAATTATGATTACTATTCTAGTCACCTTTAGTGAATCGTCCATAAATGAATAAATTCTCACTATAACCTAGATGTCAAAGGATGAAATTTTTGAGATGCAAGAAAAATTATACGAGAAATCGGGACAAAATGGAACACTGGGTTGAACAAAAGCATGGTACAAAATAACACCCCCATTGAAGAATAAAATGAAGAATAAAATAGAGTCAGAGATTTATCGATTCTCAAATCATGTGTAAAATACATGTTTTCAGCGTAAGAATTTTTAACAAAATGAAAAAAGAACAAAATTGAGATGTAATTGTTGAAATTCCAATTTTTCAATCACTCCAGACTTCCCACGATCCAAACTTCAAATCGACTTCTCCTAATACAACAAGGATATCTCAAAATTTGCGTTAAGACTAGGGTATCTCAAGATGTGAAAAATCGTCTGAAATTTCACGTTTTCCTTCTCTTGGCAGCTGTATAAATGGGATGAATGCATCCAAAAATACAAATAACATGAAGTAGTTCACATTGGAAGAGAAAATGATTTGCGAGCTCCGTGAGACTTAGAAATGGATGTGAACAACAAGCTTTTACATGAATTTTGAGATACCCTAGTCGTAACGCGAATTTTGAGATACTCTTGTTGTAAAAAGAAAATTGAAATACCCTTGTTTTATTAGGAGATGTCGAAATCAAAATGTTATATAAAAGTGCCACAAAGGCGCCGAGTTCAACTTTGTCTCATTCCTATAAAAATGATTTGCCAAAATACATTCACCGATTATTCTTTTTGCAGAGTGTTCTCGGGGAAGAATATCCAAAGACCTTTTATAGAGAATTCCTAGAAGTAGAAAAATTTTTTTTTAACAATGCATCTACTTTTTTCAGGGATATTTACAAAGAAATACTGTTCTTTATTTCAGATTTTACACCAACTATGATGCAAAGTTCAACTCTGAAAGAACCGGGGATTCACCGGACAGTACAGATTCAGAAGAAAGCCGAGACTTTGGTGGCAAGCCACGTGGTCTCGTGGGCCTCCAGAACATTGGAAACACCTGTTACATGAACTCAGCCCTCCAAGCCCTCTCCAATGTAGTTCCATTGACCCAGTACTTTTTGGACTGTGGCCAAGCAGTCTCCCATATCGTGAAAGACCGGAAACCGGGTTTGAGCTTGAATTATATGAATCTGGTGAAAGACATGTGGAACAGGAAGACTCGAGGCTATGTCGTTCCCAATGGAATTCTCTCTGGAATTCGGGCAGTGAACCCAATGTTCAGGGGATACCATCAGCATGACACTCAAGAATTCCTCCGATGTTTCATGGATCAACTGCATGAGGAATTAAAGGAGCGAGTAGAGGAGGACAGGGAGCAACATGTTTATTTGAAGGTACATAACTTTTCATTCAAGTTTATGATCAGTGGCTCACAAATAAAAGCATTTTTTGTTGACGTCCTGGAGTGAGCCCCCCCAGGGGCATTCTCTAATGAAAAATAAAAATTTGAATTGTCTGCCCAATATATTCAGTGAACATGAGATTTTTTCTATTCAGCTTCGACTGAATTATTCATTTGAATTCAATACATAACTGATTCTATTCTGGCAATTCTAAGAAATGGAATGAATAACTGCATTCTAGTTTTCTTTTGTTAACCAAATCATCATGTCAATCAACAAGTTATAAAATTGTTCACCATGTTACATTCCCCTAATTCTGCAATCATCTCATTTATTAGTGAATTTGTGGGGAATTATCGAAAGATATTTCCTATGAAAAATTTCTTCATCTTCTAGAAAGGTCTTCTACGACTCTCTTCTAACATTACTTGTGGCCAAGATAAATGCAATGATTTTGCAAAGGATTGCTTTATTTTCAATATTTCTCAAATGGTTAATTATACAGATAATGAACCGTTTTCAGAAAAAATTCCAGAAAATCCGACAAAAAAAAATATCCACGTGCAAAAATTTCCATACACAATCTAGTGGGCTATTAAAAAAAAGGTCTATCAACATTTTTCTGTAAACGTACTTGTTTGACAAAACTAATTTCTGGCGCCAAATATCTCATCTCTTGAGGATAAATTTCTTGGGACAAAAATTCCGGATAATGTGCCGGACAATGTCAGATTTCGGTGAAGTCTTCATGATTTGAACATGAGCATTTCATGATAAAGCGAGAATTTCTTGCCACAAGAAATCGGTTGTTTCATGTCAGAAGATGAGAAAATGCTTAAAAATATTAAAAGCTTCGATTCAGTGAATCGTGAATCAGAGACTTTGATATTGAATGAATAGAGAGTTTATGCAGAGGAAAACCTCGCGATATTAAAAAAATATAACTGTCGCTTACGCTCAATCGCCTTGAGTTCAAAGGGCAGCAATATCTTCTTCTCTTTCTGTGAAACTGTTCTTGTCTTTTAAGAAATATTATCTCATTTCGAAAAAAGACATCACCTTTTCATTCAGCAACTTCCTCCTTAACCCGAAGAGCACCGATTTCTTGTCTGACCTACCAAACCTGCCATAAATTGATCAAATATGTATGCGATTTTGTTCGCCCAAGAAATGATTTTCGTGATATTATGTCGATTTTTCGTTTAGTGTATTAGCGAAATTGAAGATTCTTTATTTACAAACTACGTTTCTCTTAAGTTAACTGAATCCTCCGACGAAGAAGACCCCGAGATGGACGGTACGACCTCTAGTCAATCAGACGCCGAATACGAGACCTGCGACTCTGGAGTCAGCGAACAGAGTTCTACGAGTGACGATGGTGATAGAGGTACAAAGCGCCGTTACTCCCGCGTCTCTCAATCCGAGAAATTTCGCAACAAGTTCACAACCCGAAGCCTCAAGAAACCTCTCGACGACCAGTACAATCAACCCCAAAGATCTCTCCAAAACTCTCCAACCAAACACCGAGCAAAAAAGCAAATGAAGACCCGCAGCATCATCAGCGACATTTTTGACGGAAAACTCCTGAGTTCAGTGCAATGCCTAATGTGCGATCGAGTTTCCACGCGAGTGGAAACTTTTCAGGTAAAGACGGCAAATAAATTTAGTAGTAAATTAGTTAAGAAGGAGAAATGAGTCCCGAACAAACGGATCTGCAAAACATCCTGCAAGTACTTTTTTTTTGCTCTAAAAAAATTTGTTTTTTCCTTTTGACTGGAAGTATTGTAATCTTTCAAATTCAAGATTCTAAGTTTTTGCGTTAGACTAACTAATTTCGGGCTCAGGGGTCGAAATATGATGTTTTGGTGCATTTTTTTCGATAAAAAATTGATCAAATTTCATTAATTTGTTTTTACGAAATATCCAGTTCAATGGGCACTACCGTTTGGTACAAATTAAAACTTTTTCGATGGCGTTGTTGCCATGATTAATAAAAAAAATGTTTAAATTGAGTCACTGCTGGCTTGTAATATTTGTTTGAATGATATCTGAGGCAAGTTTGAAGCTGGTGCCGATGGCATTATCAATTTTCAAGTTATAGTCGTAAGAAGATTGAATTATGAAACTGAGCGTCATGTTCACGAGCTTCATTAATAAGGGCGAGAAATAAGGTTCCCAAATGAGATTTAGACCTTAGGATCCTGATCTAAAGAGGAATATTAATTCGAAAGCAAATTGCTAATTTATTAGCAAAAATGACTACGGCGAGTTATAACAAAAGGACAATTGCTTACTTGTTTTTTTTTTTTTTGGAATTGACAAAGTCCGTAACCAAAAAATGTCTTCTCAGATTCCCACCTCTATAAAATCTTTAAATTCGTATATATATATACGGACTCCTTCATCACAATTAGACGTAACGCCCAAACGAATCATAAACTAATTTGATAATAATCATCACTGCTTGCAGGACCTCTCGCTACCAATTCCCAGTAGAGATCACATTGACATGTTGCACCAGGGTTCACTAACCCCCCAGAAAGCTGGTCCCTGTTCGGACGTGGTCTACGTAACTAACCAATCAGGTTGGATCTCCTGGTTCTTTCAATGGATGCGTTCCTGGTTCTGGGGGCCTGTGGTCAGCCTCCACGATTGTCTCTCTGCCTTCTTCAGCGCAGACGAGCTCAAGGGCGATAACATGTACAGTTGCGAAAAATGCAACAAGCTTCGCAACGGAATCAAGTTTTCCAAAGTGTTGGATCTACCAGAAATTCTTTGCATTCACCTCAAACGTTTTCGTCATGAACTAATGTTCTCTTCGAAAATAGCAAACTACGTGTCCTTTCCCCTGGATGGATTAGACATGCGTCCATATCTCCATAAAGATTGTGTTTCCAAAGTCACAACTTACGACTTGATATCTGTTATTTGCCATCATGGAACAGCTGGAGGCGGTCACTACACTTGTTATGCACTGAATTCAGACATAAATCAATGGTTTGAGTTCGATGATCAATGTGTGACGCAAGTATCTCCTGAAACAGTCAAGAATTGTGAAGCATATGTACTTTTTTACAAGAAAAGTTCACACGAAATGGCTCAGTGTCGTGATAAAATAGTGGAGCTGTTGGAAACTTCTTCCCGTGAACCTGAGTTGAATTTCTACGTATCCAAGGCGTGGATCAATAGGTTTAACACTTGCTCAGAACCTGGGATGATTGATAATTCAGATTTTTTGTGCCCGCATGGGGGAGTCAATCCAGTGAAAGTTCATTATATTGATAAGTTGAGCAGACCACTGCCACAGGCGGTCTGGGAGCATCTCTATAATACATTTGGAGGTGGACCTGCTTGTACACATTTGTTTGAATGTCCTGTTTGTGTGGAGAAGTATGAAACACTCCAGAAGAGGAGAAAATATGAGTTGGAGGTGTTCCAGAGGTTTAATAATATGGAGAATCCTACGGCTATTTATGCGCTCGCGATGGTATGGCTGAGACAGTGGCAGAGCTTTGTCAAGGGGAAAGAGACACAGCCTCCTGGGCCTATTGATAATTCGTCAATTGTTGTCACGGTTAATGGACAGAAAGTACTGAAACCTGGTAGGTATAGTGAGTTACCGGAGATTCATGAGTTTAAGCGAAAGGTTGATTATCAAATCACGTGAAGATTGTTTTTAATATTCTTCAGTGTGTTTAGCCGTCAGGAAAATCTGGAAAACCGGGAATTGTCAGGGAATTTGATTGGTTTGGAAATGTCAGGGAACAGTCAGGGAGTTACAAATTTTTGGGAATCCTTCTGTTGACAAAAAACATTGTCCTGGAATTTGATCTCAAATTTACTTAGAAAAGTGGGATATTAGCATCTTCCCGTGGGATGAGACTGGGAACCCACGGTTTTTGCGGTTTTTCTATGGAAAATTCTAAATTCAGCATTCTACTATTCAAAGGAATTCTTGCATATCAAGATGGTGGAAATATTTGAAAAATACTTATTTCCAGCAATATATAAACTACAAAAATACTAAGAGTTCCAACCTGGTCCGCTAGAGAGATATTAGCAACCTAATTTTCTAGACAAATTTTTAGCTGTACGTATTTTTGTTGAAAAGTGGACAGAGTGATCATCTCTTAAGGGGAGACTTCGCTAAAATTGAAAAGTCTTTGAAAATTCCCTTAGCCATACTTCCTTTATTGCATAATTTTCATCTAATGTCGATTTTTGTATTCCGCAATTTTCGTTAGAGTCTAGAAAATGAAATTAAGTATCCATTTTACGTCATAAATAATGGATTCGCCTATGAAAAAAATGTTTCTTTCAATGCACACTGTTTTGTTTTGTGACGTTTTGAGTTTTACCCGGAGGTAAAACTCAGTGAATTTTGTCCTTTTCCGTCGTACTATTACTGTCAGTGAGAGGAATCTCCTTTCTCTACACCTTTACACGTATTCCTGCACTGCAGTCCTTTGTATGGTCACTTAATCCTCAGCTAACTTCGGCGGTGAGCTCACGGGGGATTCGCTCACTCGGAGGGATGTTAGGAAAAGTATGAAGGGATATTACTTGGTGAGGTTCTAAATAAACACTCGCGTATTTAGTCGGTAAAAGTATGGTATATTAATCGTTGGTTTAACATACACGACTGTTTTACTATTGGGTTGGTATAACGCGTGATTAAAACTCGACTATGGACTTCGACTCGATTTGTTGGCTGAAGGCCTGAGCTAGAGGTCCGCTCGACTCTGCTCCTGATCGTACTCTGATGCTTCCAGTCCTCAAAACTTGGCAAAGCCCCAGTTTGCTGAGCTAAGCAGTCTCACGGTTTTCTTCACTAACACTGTCTCGTGTCATCACTGTCAGAGACTCAAACAGTCAAACAGTTCATTATTCTGAACTGGACTCCTGAAAAACCGTGGGACTGCTTACCACGGTGTCCAAATGACACCGTGGGATTGCTGACCAGTGTCTGGATGACAGGAAAGAGAAATCATATTTCTCGTTCCCACCATCCAGCATTATATTATTATTTTAATATAATTACTAACTAAATCGACGTATTGATCGATCTCAATATGTCACAGTTTGCACTTGCATAATGTCTAAAAAATCGAGTGGAGTAGACAGACTAAATCTAAAAGATTAATTTTTCCTCAATCCATTCTATGCAATGGAAAACGAATACTCAATTTTATTCTTTGAAGTCTGACGAGCATTGAAGCAAAAATTTAAATTGGATGAAAATTATGATCCAAGGAAAATTTTGAAGGTGAAAATGGGAGATGACGACGAAAATGGGTCACTTGATGGGTCTTTTCGCCAATTAAAGATAATTTCATTTTACCGACGTCTGCCTCTCAATTTCGTTCGGTGAAGGAGTTAATGTGCATGGATCCATCCATTGCTAATTGATTATCAACGTCAGGCGATCCTCGTTTATCAACTGATTTAACTCTCTAAGGTGAATTTCAATATCCCCAATCTATGGCCTTCAAAATGGAATACCGGTGTCCTCATTAAAGCATCCTACTACGCTTTTCACCTTAGGGTCTATAAATTTAACCCTCTTTGATAAAAAAAAGAACAGTTTCTACGGTCAGGGAATTTCATCAATTTGACCGGGAAAAATCAAGGAAAAGTTAGGGAATTTTGTTGAAACTGCCTGGTGGACAACCTGTTCATTGGGAACAAGTGTTTGAGGAATTTTACGCGGTACAAAAAATGTTTAAAACGGAAACATTGTAATCGGAAAGTCTACTCTACCCTTCCTGAATTATTGCCGGCTGAAGCCCGTATGCTTTACCTGTCTCTCCTTTCTACGGAAATTCGACGATCCAATTGCTCGATTTAATTAGAAGAATAATAGATAATAACTCGATAATTTTCTTATCCTTTCAGGTTCGGATTGTAGTCAAGTATCCGAAGAAGTCTGGCAATTTTTTCTAAATATTTACGGTGGTGGGCCCGAGCTGATGCTTCAACCCTGCCAACGACCACAAACCCTTCAACCAAATATATCTCTACATTCCACATCAGCACCAAATCTGATGGATCAGAGTCCAAAGCCAAATCGCATCGATGTAAACACAAACAAAGTAACAATCACCAAAAGTACAGAGACGATATCCCAGCAGGATAGTGCTATCGAGAGTATCGCGTCCGATAGTGATTCGATGAAATCTCAAAGGGACTCCAGTGGATAACATCGTTGTTAGATAAATGTAATTATCGATTGATTCATTAATTAAAATGAGTGGAGGAGTGGTAAAACTATTCAAATCAACATTCCTCGGTCATTATGAAATTTTTCTCGTAATCATTCTATGAGAAAAAGTCAAATGAAAATTTTTGTCTGAAATTTTATTGTCCACAAATAGTTTTCTTGATTTTTTCTCTCTCAAAACTACTTATATTTTAGAGATTTATATTAGTTATAAAATTTTTAATTTTGAGTTCGATTACCACTTCAAATTGCCATTTCATTCCTAACATTATTATTGCCGATTTGCCTTGAATTCTGATGTTTTTCGTTATGAATCAATAATACATTTACTGTTTAGCGTTTTCAGTGTGCACACTCCGCTTGAGTGTGAAGGATCGATTTAGTTGTATTCTTTATATGCTAATAGTCAATTTTTTTTATTTCCTAAAAAAACGTGGGGCTAAGTGTTTCATGTAATCAAACGATTGAGTATTATTATCCTGTAATTTTTCTTTTGTTTGTTGAAGTTTTGTTCGTTCTTTGCCACACGTAATCATCAAATGATTCTGAACGAAATAGTGATGGATTTAGTTCAGCTCATCATCGCGCGAAATGAGGAGGACACTTAAGGCCCGGATGGATTATCTTTCGAAAGTAATCTTCATTGTTTTTCCATCACCATAATGTAAAATGTAAATATCACAATTTCCATTGGATTTTACATCACGCAGGAATCCCGAAAAATTATGATTGTACAATCAAAAAAAGTAAAAAAAAAACTGAACATTTTTAAAGAGGGTTAGAAATACGTCCGATAGAGAGAAAATAGTGAATGGATAATTTATCACGGTAACTAACGATCTGACAGCCATTGACGACTGTGACAAATGACGACCTAACAGCCATTTAGATACATCGAATCATTAATTTGCAATTTCCTCCCTATTGGGTTTATTTACCAATATTATTCAAAAACGCTCTTTGAAAATGTTGAGCTCTTTTTCAACGTTTTTTTTATTGTACAATCATAATTTTTGGAGACTTCAGAGCTGTGTAAAACTGAATAGCAATTGGAGATCATTTCAGATTATCAAAATAAAAAAAAAACAACCAAGATCACGTTCGAAAAATGGGTGGTTTACCCGGGCCTTAAATAAAAATTTAATTAACCCCTTAAATACGGGGCCTTGAGCGCCTAAACTGTCCTTACGGTCGGGCGTGGGTATGGGGATAGCGTGCCAAGGGCCTCTGTCAGTATAGACACCCCGGCCTACAGGACAGGGGTATATGGACGCCGTACTTGAGGAATTACAAGAAAATTTAAAAATTTATATCAGTCAATCTTGTTATTGTATCAACGAAAATTGTAAGAAATGGGTTTTTAAGACTCATATTCTAAGGGGTTAGGTAAGGCATGTGTCGCCACATTTCACACATGTAATTGGAAAATTATAGCAAGTTATTCAAAATGAGGATCAGTCAATGTTATTTACAATGTGATTTTAATTCTTGTTTATTTTCTGTTCTTTTTTTTATAATTTTCCTATTTTATTTGTTATACCTTGGATGTACGAAGGGAATTTAGTTTTCGAAAAATTCCAATAGGACTTCTTTTTGTTACACGTGATAAAACATTCATGTTGTTTAATTGCATTGTGTAGATTTGTAACGTTATATCCAAACTTCAATTAGCTAATCAATCGATGAAGTAATTTGGTGAAATGTCAGATTTAATCTAATTAATTTTAACATGTACGTCTCAATAATTTATATGATAAGAATGTTGATATGGGAATATTCACCTAAAATCGAGCATTTCCCTCGAAATTTCCGCTTCACCCAGCCGGGAATCGAACCCGGGTCTCCCAGATACGCGCCGGGCACTCTTACCGACTAAGCTACCGGGAAACACAGAAATTCACTCTCAAATTCCCCTCAAACACCGCCTAACCTCCTTTAGGCATTAAAGAATTCTAAGAGAATTAGAATTTAGAGAGAAAAAATCGAGGGAAAAAATCGAATTAGATCATCGCTTTCGTTTACTTTTGTTCATGTAAATTGGATTGTAATTTTATTTAAAGAGAGAAAGAGAGCAATGTGTCCGAGAAACACATGATGCTGCAGTGATAAAATGATTTCAATCGCATAATCAATTTTCATTTTGCTGAATCAATTAATTCGACAGTTAGTATGCGTGTGATTTTGATGATTATACAATTCTATTTATTACCTTAAAATAACTGAATTGGTGCAATAGAATTTATGAGAATAAAGTGGGAGTATTTTTGAATGATTGTGGGAATTGATTCTCATAACGAAGAAAATCCATGGAATTTCGGAGAATGTAATATAAATGAGATAGGAATAATTAAATTGATTTCTTTATTTATTAAAGAATGGTGTTCTTTATTCAAATTCTAAATTTCGAGTGATTACGATAAAAAAATTTCTAGATTCCTCTGGCACTGGAAACTACAATTGCTTGGTATGTTTGTCTCATAGCGTTTACCGAGTCATTGGGATGATTCAATTAACAATAAACAATGGATATGTGGAAACTTGAGGTGCATGAGATGTTGAAAATATATTGAGAAGGAAAGAAATCCTTGATTTCCCCTCATGAAGATATTTTGCAAATCTGTTCATTCAGGACTTATTCCCTACCCGTTACTATTTAAAAATGGGGGGTTGTCACGATATGCAGCCGTGAGTTAACAAAATGCCGCTAATTTGCCAAATTTTTAAACAAATTTTTTGCTGAAAGTTATCCATATGATTATAAATCAAAGCACATTAATCTCCAGGAAACGAGATGAAGATTAATGTGCACTGGGTTAAAAAAATATTAATAACTTTAAGCAGGAAATTTTTATTTGAAAATTTAGAAGAAACGGTGGCCTTCTGTTACCCATTAAGAAATCTCTGCCGCGTTATGCGAGATCGGTGTATGGACAGCTTTGCATTGAGGACCAAAAAACTACTCTTGTTCCGGCGAGGATTATTTGAATAATTTTCTGTTCGTTTTCGTTCATTCATTCTTTTGTTCGCTCATTTTCGGTAGAAATATCAAATTCTTTCAATTTATAATTTTTTTTCTTCACTATTAATATTAAATTCAACGAGTCCAAATGGATTGACATGTCACATTCTACCATTGCAATGCAGAATTCTCAATTTCAATTTCATCTCATTGACTTCTTAAAGAATTGGAATTCCTTTCCGGAGAAATCTTGCAATTTGTCGTCTTCATTTTCAACTTCATTCTCAGTTTGACTCAATAACAAAATCATTGAATAATTAATGATTAATGACATCACATCTGTCACATTTCTGGAGGTAGAGTGTCAAAATATTATTGTGTGCGCATGACAGTCCGCCGTCGATCTCTTTCACCATTTCATGGACCAAATCGATCGGTTCTTGCGCGTAACGAAAAGGGGATGCTGGCCACTCTCATCTCAACCCCCAAACGCCGCCTCCAGTCAATGTTACCATTAAAAATTATAAAAAAAGTATTAAACATAAAAGCCGCCGAAAATAGTTTCTCCAATAACATAATGATGTTCAATTACAATTATTGAATATCGAATAGTGAAAATTTAGCGTTAAATACCTGGTAAAAATCCGTGCAAGTGCCTCAATTATTAGTCTTAGGGAGACGTCGTAGTATTGAAGGCTCGAAGGTTGTCCTAGTCATCCCTTACAAGAGAGTTTTTTCATTTATTTTTTTCATCGTTGGAAAACTATCCTCAGCGATTTTGGAGCGTAAGTATATTTCTCAATTAATTGATTTGTCATCACTTCTTTCACTTGAAAAAAAAAAAAGAAACGTAATATTTAAGGGATTTGTGGAGTTGGCGCCACATATTGGAATATTAATTACTCCAAACAGAAATTAATTTATTCGGTAATAGATATTTCCTCTGGGAGCACGAGCAGAATATTTATTGATTCATGGAGAAATATTGCCACGATTTGATTCAATTTCTGAGCGATTGTGACTCTTGTCAACTGAGAAATAGAATTGATGGGTTGATAAGTGATAATAAAATATTATTTGTAGAAATGCAGAGATTTTTCGTTTTCAATATAAACACTATTATGGAATTTATTCATCTAATTTCCATTATTTTTCCAATCCGTGCATAATTGAGAACTAATAATGTTCAAATCAATTGAGATTTTTTTGTAATTGTTTAATAGGAATGAATATGCAATAATGAATTTTTAATTCCTCAGAGCAACAAAAATGGCAAATTTCCGAGGCTTTTACATTCCCTCGTTCAGCGCAACGGTAAGTGTAATGTGGGAAACAGTGAAAGCAAAAATGCCGGAGAATAGCCCGTGTATGGAGTTAATTCGTGGAACGGGAGCTGGTGGACCTCCGCAACCGGGCCAATTTAAGGAGTACGGTGAAGGCGGGGAAAATACAGAAATGACAACGATGAATGGGGAGCAGGCGTTTGGGGGTCAGAACAGCGTGGGGGTGGCCGAGGACTCGTTCAGCTATCAGCGAAATGGGTACATCATTAATGACATTGCATTTTCCATTTTCAGTGACACAATTTCCTACTTAAAGAAGACTTCGATAAATTGTTGTAGGGAATCATCACTGATATTCATGTTAAATATTTTATCTATCGATAGGAATGAAAAAATCCATTCATTTAGATGCAATTAATATCCTCATTTAGGAGTGGAGTAATGTGCGGATTATCTATTTAATTATTCTACTGTGGTGAATTGATAAAAATATGTACCAGGTTCATCAATTAGGTGCAGATCTGGAAAATGAGTCATCAAATATTGGTGATCAGGGTGTCCATCTGGAAGTTTCAACAAAATTTCCTGACTTTTCCCGCTCAAATTGATGAAATTCCCTGACCATAGAAAACGTTTTTTTAATGAAACAATGTTAAATTTATAAACTCTAAGATGAAAAGCGTAGTAGGATGCTTCAGTGGGGACACCGGCATTTCGTATTGAGGGCCATACAGTGGGGATATTAAAATTCACCTTAGAGAGGGTTAAAATAGTTGATAAACGAGGATCACCTGACGTTGATAATCAATGAGCATAATAGATAGATCCATGTACATTAACTCCTTTGCCGAACGAAATTGAAAGGCAGACGTCCGTAAAATAAAATTATCTTTGATTGCTAAAAGACTCATCAAGTTAATTTTCGTCGTCATTTCCCATTTTCACCTTCGAAATTTTCCTTAGATCATAATTTTCATCCAATTTAAATTTTTGTTTCAATGCTCGTAAGACTTCATAGAATAAAATTGAGTATTCGTTTTCCATTGCATAGAATGGATTGAGAAAAAATGAACAAAAAAATTTTTCCCATTCGGATTCAAAATTCATGCTATATTAGGGAGTATCTCCGGTTAAAAATAATTTTTGGAGCTAATTAAATTTATTTGTATCTGTTCCACGCATTGAATGGTTTTCAGATTGTTTTTTTTTAATAAAGGAAAAAATATTAATCCGTGCGAAAAAGTGGCAACATCGTCGGTAGTGTTTTTTTTTCACCAGGAGCTGGTTCACTGGCTCGAGGGAGCTCCAATCACAACGCTTCATCGCTCTCTCTCAAGAGACGTTTAAATTGACCGCGCTATCCCCACCCGATCGGGTACTTGAGACTTTGCTGCTCGTTTGGACTGCGTGCACGGAAATTTCATTTTTCAGTACTTTTTTCGCGATTATTAATAAACAATGCTCCTAGGCGACAATCTTTTTCACTCAAAAAATCATTGATCACATGTTCTAAATGTGTCTAAAGTTTCATGACTTTGGCTGCTTTTTTTCCTTGGGTTTTGCAGTTTTTTTTGTGATTTCCATAAGATCACGTGTTAAATGACCACTTTTTCAAAAATTCATAATAAATTAACCATGTTCCCCAGCAGTCTGAAACTTTGCACACGCCTTTTCCATCATTTAAAGAATACGTAAAAAATAAAAGAGAAAAATGGCTGCTTTTTTTCTAACCCTCCGGGCTCGCCCGATTATCCTTAAGAGGTGATAACTCTGTAAACTTTTCAACAAAAATACGTACAGCGAAATTTTTTTTTAGAAAATTAGGATGCTAAAATCTGTCTAGCGGACCAGGTTGGAACTCTCAGTGTTTTTACTGTTTGCATATTGCCGGAAATGGGTATTTGTCAAATATTTCCACTATCTTGATGTGCAAGAATTCCTTTGAAAAGTAGAATACTGAAGTTAGAATTTTTCATAGAAAAACCGCAAAAACAGTGGGTTCCCAGTCTGACCCCACGGGAAGATGTTAACATTCCACTTTTCTAAATAAATTTGAGATCAAATTCCAAGACAATGTTTTTTTGTCAACAGAAGAATTCCCAAAAATTTAGATACTCGGGGAAAACAAGCTTCAAATTTTTAAATTCCAGAAAGTTGTCGTAATTCCCTGCCTTTCCAGACCAATCAAATTCCCTGACGATTCCCGGTTTTCCAAATTTCCCTGACGGCTAGACACCCTGAGTGATTATGGATTGCATTTTTACAGGGACAAAGCGAGAGGAGCAAGTGTAAGCAGTGGAGGCTTCAGTGAATACGATGACGGTGGTGAATTTGCTTCAGGAGTCAAGATCAACGAGTGGCAAGCCGCTTGGAACGTTACCAATGCAATTCAGGTAACACGAAGAGAAATAAAAGCAATTCTTTTTAGTTATCCATAACTTTGAGCTGGCTGCGTGAAATCACAGAAACTTCATCCCCACAGCTGTGGATGAATAGATCAATATAATAGAATTCACATGGTTCCTCTATCAAAATATTAAAATAGATGAAATCACTCAATAGAAAATTGAAATAGGGAATCCTATTGAAAAATCGTTCGATGAATCTATCATAAGTAAATTTGGATCGGGCCAGTAACAGTTTCTACTGTTATGGAATTTCTATTAGAATCAAAATGCATGCATCCTCATTCATTTTAGTGGAAACAATTTTTCAATCATTTTTTAACTCATTGAATATTGGAACAGTAAAATAATGGTTTTAATTGAGGCTGAAAATTGCAATCTTTAAGTCTTTTCATCGATTCATTTTTAGATATTCTCCTATTACAAGATATCAGTCAGATGAATAAATGGGTCTCATTCATTCAAATTACAGATTTTCATCTTGCGTATGTTATGAAACGCCGATTAAGGCGGGTTTTAGGATACTATACGTACACACCGGAGATGAAAAATCAGTAAAAAGGGGGGAAGAAAATCCGATAAGTGTTCAAACTCTTCAGAAGAAAATACAGTACTTTTGTTATAGAGCTGCGTGGCACCCTCGATTTTCAGACATGTGCCGACCACTCGCGTTCAAATGCGTAATTCTTGTTTTAAGCAATAAAATATGATCACTGAACACCAAGTAATCAATTTTCAATTAATTTTAGGCATTGGAATCGTTTACTATTGACAATTCAATTGTTCAAATCGCCCTAGCGCCCAAATTATGGAGAATAGACGAAAATTCTCAAATCATGAACCATATAGAATTTAATGAGGAATAATTTCTGTCTGTTTTCAATTTTACATCTCTCGTAGATGCCGAGATATCAGCAATAAACTAGTTACCCGACCCGACATAGTGCTCTCTGCTTGTGGTGCACGGTGGGTTTGAGAGCGCTGTGTTGGGTCACGCAACTCTTTCCTTGCTCATATCTCGAAATCTAAAAGAGATATGTGAAATTGACAAAAAACAAAGAATATTCCTTATTGAATTTTAAATGATTCGTGACCCGAAAATATCCGTATAACTTTCAAAGTTTGGGCACTAGGGCGATTTAAATAATAAATTGTTGATAATAAATAGTTTGTTGATAATGCCTAAAATTGATTGGAAATTGTTTACTTGACGTTCCATGATCATATTTCATTGTTCAAAAAAAGCATTACGCATTAGAACGCGAGTGGTCGGTCAGCAATTTAGAAGCGTTCTTTGGGGATGTCCCGCAACTCTATCATAGTCACATTGCTCCATGATCGCTTTTTCCCCAGCGTGAAGACTTTCACACTCCCTACCGCGCTCGACTTACGAATATACATCGATGTTTTCTTACATGCGCTATTGTTTAGTCTTTCCAGATTTGCCCAAGGGCCCAACTGTACACAATGTAGCATGGCGGTCAGACAGTGTCGGTCTTACAGGAATTATAGAAATTCAGTATCCTCAGAGCATCATTTCCAATGCCAATTATTCCTAAACGATGGCGCTATAAGGCCTCAAACATTTCCGGAATGAAATATGCAGAGCCGTACCCTCCTTTTGAGGAAAATTCTGTTTTTTGGTACCCATTCGCGATATTTAATCAATCCTCTCACATTTGCATGTAAATGTACAATAGTACAGTTTGCAATAAATTAATTGGTCGATTGACCAAATTGCTCTCAATTGATTAATCAATTCTATAGTTAACAAACATTTGCAATCTATAATTAATCACAGTTTAGAATCTAGGATTGTTTTGCTTGTTTGAAAACTGTTTTTTTTTCATCAACAAAACGCAGACAATTCGTTGTCTTATAGAAAAATTACCATCTATGGACTTCCAAAAATCCCTAAAATCAAGAGGTCTTAATGATAAAATTTTTTCATTTTTTTACCATGTTACGACCTTTCGCCTTTTATTTCTGTCCTCAGAAAGCATATCTCAATTTTTAATACTGATTCATACATGTCGGAACATTGTAAAAACTCTCAAAATGTTTGTATCTTCCAAACATTTTTTGGCCAGTAATCACCCCTTATATATACTTCTGTCAAGATACATTTGTGTAACACGTATTCGTGACAGAAGAACGTCTCTCAAAAAAAAAAAATTAGGGAACTGAAGCGATCTTTATTGTTAAGGGTCAATGATCGGACGAATCCCATGTACTCTTGAGGGTCAAATGAGAGAGACACGTACAGTATCCAAATCACGAGTAAAAAAAATTTTGGCTCCTAGAATCAGGGTACTGAATTTAGTAAACTTGTTGAAGGCATGATATTGAGAATAAAAGAACAGGTCATTTAATTTCAGTAGAAACATCCTTAAAATTCAGTACCAACGAAACCGTAATTTCGAAGTAGAAAAGTTTTAAATAAAGTACCGTTCAGTTTGTTAATTAAGAATCGTGGAATCTTAAGGGGATACACTACCGAGTTTCAAAATTTCTGGACATGACAAGTAAACTTCATTGGACACCTTATAAGAAATGCATCTCACTTTTGTTGGTACGAGTACTCTGAACATTGTATTCAATTTTCACCTCATTTCATCAAATGCAACTGACATAAATTTTGTCGAAAATCGAAAATAGTTTTTAATAGTTTCATTAAAGTTTCGTTTTACGCATGTTACGTCCCAAATGGATTACTCTTTTATTTTCACTGAGTTAAGAATTGATCTGGATTTAGAAGAAAAGATTTAACCCTTCTGGTCGATAACTCCAGGTGTTGAGGGAAGCTATTCCTTTAGGTAGGTTCTTTCCAATCGACTACTGCGCGTAGCTGACCAATCAAACACGATTAGGACACAATTGTTTAATTTAACAATATTTATTCAATAACAAATAACACTTGGGTTTATTACACTGTTCACTATTGTAGTCTTTGAATCTTATGATTTAAGTTTCACTTGATATTTTAAATGTTTTTTTATTTCTTCAATTTTGGTTATTTCAGTTGACTTCGATTATTTTAATAACACTGTGATTTGAGTCCCGAACACCTTGAATTAGGAAATAGGATTTCGGAGTTAGAATATTCACCGGGACTTGACTTGAACTAGAAGTTTAACTTAGTGTTTTGAATAAGATCGGAAGAGGTAGTTATTTCTACTTTCCACTTTGAAGTTGTAGATTGAAGTCATTTCTCTAAGGAAGGATTTGAATATCTAAGGGTTTCTTAGCGGTCACGCGTGGGCGTTCACGCTCTAGTTTCAGAGGGTAGGATTGGTTGATTAGGGATGCTGGAGAGGATAGAGGCGAGCCGGTTGGTTTTTGGGTCAAGCGGGGAGCCTCGATAGTTATGATTGGATTTTTGGACATTAAGGGTGCAGCTGCGTTTTGACTCTTAAGAAAATTCTGTTCTCACGGAACGTTAGAATTGGAAAATGTCACTTGACACTTATGACTTTCAGATTTTTAGAGTTCGCCGTGTTCGGTTTACAATTTCAGGATGAAAATACTTATCTTACATATTTATTTCGACTTTTATGATTTTTTGAAAAGTTTATGATGCACGTGTGCATCCATCTGTTTTTCGGTTTCGTTTATCACGTGGGAATGGTATTTTTAAATGTTTCTCAAGAAAAAATGTGGTCTGGACACTTGAGTGTTATTTCTTAAATGTAATTAATAATTTCTTATTTTATTGGATTGGAAAAATGATATTCGAATATTGGGCCTTATATACTAATTGCTGGTAAGACTCGACAGTCGATAAAGTAAAGTTAAAAATTTAATATAACGCCATCAGGTGGCCAAGGTAGGGACGTAACACGCACTCCAAATTCAATTGGGAAAAATAATCCGACAAATACCCCTCGAGATTCAAAATTAATCGGGTATTTCCCTCCAGCTCCCCTGCAAACAAACCATCGTGCCATGTTTTGCGGAAAAATGCCTCGCGCAAGCGCTCGGGATTTTTTAACCTGCAAAACTTGACACCCTCATTTGTTTGCAAAGAAGCTGTCGGGAAATACCCGATAATTTTGAAGCTCTTGGGATATTACTACTGAAAAACTCACCGACTCAATTTTTTTGATTGTGAATTCTCAATTCACAACCCCCACCTTCACTTCTTTGCAAAATCCCCCCTCCTCACATCTGAAATTTTCGATATTTTAGCACTCCTTCCTGTGTATGGAATACTTATGCCCTTTAAATACCTCAGCCATAATTTTTTTATTCAATCTGAACATTTTCTAGAATTAAGAAAAATTCAGCATTGGTTTCAGAAAATATTTATTCTGAAAAATAATCCCCAAATTCATTGGTTTTTATGATCCCACCAAGAGGAAAGCTTAAGAATTGGAGTTTCTAAAATCTAGAAACTAGTTTTTAAAGCTAATCTACTTTTTTTCTGTGTATCGACAGCTTAGTAACAGAACGTAATTACCAAAAACGATCATTTCCAGAAGTAAAATGACGTATCCCTAAAAAATGAGTTTTAATGCTTGGGATTGGAAAAATTATCGAAATTAGTTTATTGTGTTACTAGTGCGTAAAGGTCCACTTTTTCACATGCACGTATAACACATCCTATTTTTTGTGGAACCTGCCAAGTTCACTGTTCGGAACGATAGTGGGGGTAATGTGGTTGTTCTTGTGCACGAGTGCGTAAAGTTCCAGAACGTGCGTAAATTGAATTTCGAGTGCGTAAAGCGAAAGTTTAATGAAACTATTAAAAACTATTTTCGATTTTCGATAAAATTTATGTCAGTTGCATTTGATGAAATGAGGTGAAAATTTAAAACAATGTTCAGAGTACTCATACCAACAAAAGTGAGGATGAATTTCTTATAAGGAATCCAATGAAGTTCACTTGTCATGTCCAGAAATTTTGAAACTCGGTAGTGTATCCCCTTAAGGATCCCACGATTCTTAATTAACAAAATGAACGGTACTTTATTTAAAACATTTCTACT